TTACTGAACAACTAGCCTTAAACAACGAGCAATATTTGACAATAGCATATTTGCCAACATAGCATTAAACAATGAGAATGAAATAAAAAACTTAGCCGGAAATGTTGCTTAATAATATATTTATGGGGGAAGCATCATCCCAAGCTCAGCAAGTGAGGAACCAGAGGAAAATGACTGTAGTTAAGTGTCTTTTTTATTATTATAATATATATATATATATATATAATTGGACTATATTTAAATCCCTTGTGTTCATTTGAGTGCTCAGTCCACACACCTTCCAATCACCACCGAAGTGATTTTTTTTTTTATTAAATGAACATAGCTTGATCTCAGCCAGTTGATCATGTATTTAATCAACACGTCATATCACCCTAATTTCTCATGCTCATATGCTCACATTACTCAGCGTGAGCACATATTCAAGCGGATCAGAAATTATGAATCTCTAATAGTATTGAGTGGCAGTCCAGCAGGGGAAGGATACACCCTGTGGAAATACTTCGAATGACTGTCATTGATATTACATTCTTATATGTATAGAAGCCATTAGGAGCAATAAACGCGTGCTTCTGACACAGCTGAAATCAACCGCACACTCACACAGCTAATGAAACATCAACCTTAGAAATAAACAACTGTAACATTGAGATTATGCCGCTGAATACAGCGAGCCCCAGTTGAAACGCATACACGAGAATGCGTGTTTCATTTAAACTTGTTCTCGTGGCCTTAACTATCGGCGTGTCCTCAGAGCGATTAAGTTACATGCTTTAGACTACGTGTTGCTCCAGCGTTATGAACACAGATGCGTAAATGCTGCTGCAAATATGCTTAATGTTTCGCTCCTGCAAACGATGCAAAACTGCTAACATCTTTCTTTTCTTTTTTTTTCAATTAGCAGGCCAGGTAATATACAGAGCGATATGGATTAAAACAGCATTCACTTATCTTCGACGTGGATTTCAGATGTTCTGAAACACGCTGCAACAGTTTGATTTGCGAGCAGCGATGCATAATTTGCTCCCGAGCAAGCTGAAAAGCTGCTGAATAATACTGAATAGAGCTTATATAGGAATGCCACGATAGGTGTCGTATTCCTATAGGTAGATGTGATCAGCTGAGAATCAGCTGATGCAAGCTTGACTCACGTGACCTGCCAGAACTAACGCTAACGCGTAATTTATTGTGCACTTTCAGACCGTTTACGTTCACATACAGCTACATTACACACTGCATGAAAGGCAGTATTGGAAATGGCATAATAGGGGCACTTTAAAATATATCTTGCATCATTACTGCAGTCTTCAGTTTCACTTGAATCTTCAGAAATCACTTAAATATGCTGATTAGCTGCTTAAGAAACATTTGTTATTAATATTGAAAACATCAATATTAATATGTTAATAGTTTTTGTGAAAACCACAATACATTTCATAAATTCAATGTTCAAAAGAACAGCATTTATATTGTGTAACATTATAAGATTGCTTACTGTCACTTGTGATCAATTTAATGCATCCTTGCTGAATAAGTTATTTCAATAAACAAACAAACAAGCAAACTATCGAGCTAACTAGCTAACTAACTTATTGTCTACAAACCTTTGAACGGTAGTGTATAAAAAAATACAATAAAATGTAGTTGAAATAATCAAGACAGTATGAATACATAGTAATAAATAACAGTATGTATTTACATATATTTTTAGTAAACCATTTTAAAATTCCACCTCCCCAGTATAGATCTGCTCTGGGTTATTATATATGCTATTTGTGCAGCAGCAGTATGTCTTAAATGCTCACAGCAATGTATCACCGTATGCATTGGCAGTAGCAAGTTCCTGTACTTGCTTTGCAGCAGATCTATTCCACAAAGACCAAATTCATTAACATTGTAATATCCATTACCATGCTAAAATCATGATATGAAGTCATTGGTCTTTCTCTCACTTCCATATATTCACTCTTTGTCTTTCTCCTCTCAGAGGCCTGTAAGGACCATAAGCGAGCTTTGGAGGTTTCCCAGCATGCCGAGGACATGGGGCTGATCCTGGGGGCCTGTGCCGGGGGGCTGGTTGTTCTCATCCTCCTGCTGGGAGCAATTGTGGTTATTGTGAAGAAAGGGTGAGCATGTGTGCACTCAGATCCAATTACCGTATTGAGCCGAATATAAGACAATGTTTTTTTCTTGGAAATACATCTGAAAAAACGCGGTCGTCTTATATTCAGGGTCTAGACTTTGACATGTCAATAATACACCCACAACAATAGGTGGCGCCAAATACGCATAAAACGAGTGTGCCATGAAATACGTAATGTAATGCGTGTTGTAAAGATCGCGAGTAAAAACAAAGGAAAAAGAAAACTTTACAGCTGCATGAGTCGTGACTGTCACGTTAGCCTGATGGGACCAAACTCCCTTTGTGATTTTAAAACGTAAGACACTACCCAGATTTGAAGACTACAGTAAGATTTAACTTCTACTGTTAATACGATTTTGGTAGGCTACTATTAGATGGATAGCCTAAATGTCTTAATTCAGATGGGCTACCTGTTTTGTTTTTTTAATGGTATATCAAAAAGTGTATATTTTTTTTTATGTGATTGTTGGTACATTTTACCAGTTTTTACAATACTTTCAAAACAAAAATTTAAATAGGAAAAATATGCAATATGAAAATAATTGAAGACAAAATGTGTTTTACTGAGAAAAAACAAGATTTGGTTTTTAAAAAGCTTTTTTCCAAAAGGTACATCTGGAAAAAGGGGGCTCGTCTTATATTCGGGCCAATACGGTACAATCAAATCCAATTCTAGATGTTCTTCACAGCGTCACATCACACCAGCAGCAGCGAAGGCCAGAAACAGTAAAAAAAAAAAAACGGCGCACAAAACACTTTAACACAGCTTCAAAGCCGGCCCCCAACTCACAGCTGAAATATAGCTCAGACATGACAAATTCTAAAAGAATCTTCTGTTACGCTTTGGGAACAGCGAGGGCAGGTACGTTAAGTACCTCAGAACTGCATTATTCACTATTGTTATGTGGCTCTCTGGAATACTTCATTGTGATTGGTCAATCGCCCTAGCCTTACATTGGAGGTGTGACCACGGTCACATCTAGAAATTGAGATGATCATGATTTTTGACCAGTCAGCAACCACCCTAGCAAAAGCATGGGAACATGCTCTGACCTGGCTAAGTCCCACCTACATTTAAAGCTGTAGATCATATTACTGCTGATTGCATATTTCCCACGATCCTCTTCTATTGTTAATCCTCTCCATTCATTTTTATGTATTTTCTCTTTTCCTCTCATTTACAGTCCTTTCAGTCTCTCTTCATTTGTTGTCTTTCATACTCTGCAGCAGGAAGAAGGTGAACATAAACAAGGCGGTGATGACGTATCGCCAGGAGAAGACGCGTAAACTGGGGTCACTGGACTGCAGTACGACAGAGCACAGTACACTGCAACAGGACGATCGCACCACGCAGACCTTCATGGACTCACATAACTCCACTGCTAGAAGTGAGTACACAAACACACACAGCGGAAAGAGTTGCTCCTTACACATACAAACTTTGATCTTCAGACGAAGGGTAGGGGAAGTGACCATGGTCTAATACCTCACTATAAGTAATCAGGCCCAGTTACAGAAAACTGTATGATAAAAAAACAGGTAAAATAAATAAATACATAATAATGTTAAGGCCTGTTTTTGATCATTTAAACCCTCCACCTCCCCCAGTTCCACCTGTCTATATATATGTGTGTGTGTGTGTGTGTGTGTGTGTGTCTGTGTGCAATTGTAAATAATCCAGTGCCAGTGCCATCTAGTTGACACTTCAGCGTAGTAGGTGATGGTATTGCACCTTATTGCTGCCACCCATAACATGGTAAAAATATGAAGACAAGTCATGTAGTACTGTCACACAAAAGGTTTATGAAAGTGAGACACTTTAACCGTACTTGAAAAAAGTTTGCTCAGCAGTGTTTTTTTTAATTGTCAGACACCCTAGTCTGTAGGAAGTGCCAATCAACAGTACATTCATTTTTGCACTTATGCTATGGTTACGTATGGCTAACTTTTTCCTCTGCCTTCTTAAACTGGTTTTGACACTCATTTGAGTGTGATTCACTTACTGAAAAAGAAAAAGCACAAAATAAACAACACAAAATATGAATTTGAAGGTTTGAAATTGCAACATTAATTCCTAATACTAAGACATATTGTACAGTGGCTAAGCAGCACCCACGCACACGCACACACACACACACACAAACACATTCTCTTTCTCTCCAATATATAATGCATGTATTAGAACACAGGTGGACAAGTGAACAGTGTTGTTGAGATGTTTACAGTCACAATACACACCTGACACTGATCATCTCCATTAGTCATTGTTTGCATCTATCTATCTATTATGCATCACAATAATCAATCTCCACATATTAAAGATCCTCCCACTGCTCTCTGAGTCTTGAGTCAGTGTCCTGATTGTCCCCTGGAACAGACAAGTGTTGTTGTGTGCCAGTAAAGTGAGAGCACTGGCTCCCAGCCTATCTCCAGATGTTTGTGCTTATGTCATGTACTTGGCTGTGTAGCACTGGTTTGAAATATTCTATTCTATTCTATTACCCAAATTCAGACTATTGACTAGAGGTCTATGTGGGATGGATATTTTAGTCCTTCTCCCCCAAGATTCTGTCCAGCTCATGCACAATTTGTTGCTCAGCACACAAATAACATGAATGGCATTATGCACCTTTAAAAACATAAAATATATTTAAGTAACTTTTATTTGATCTTGATTTTTTTATATTTTGCAGGAGCTCCTGAATCATTTCTTTCTCCCACTTTCCACACATTCATCACTATTCCTCCCACACCCACTCTCAGCAATTAAAAACGTGTCCTGTGCCGCACTCTGTTGGGTCAGGTCCCGCGCATCCCATGGGATTGCAGACCTCTATTTAAAAAGCTTTTTGCAAACACTTTTGACTAATTAGTTCAATAGTGATTCATTCAATGCAAATCATGCATTGCTGGTTAAACAGCTTATCTCCATAACCAGACAAGGATTTATAAGTAATATTTTACTGGGACACATCAGTATATCTCTGGAGCACAGTAGTAAAATAATCTGGCAACACCTTTACATGGAAGGCAGATGGTTAAAAAATGAATCTACACAGGCCATCTTCATCAAGTTGGACCAGCACAGCTTGTCCGTTTCTTACAACACCTTTCTAGCATCTCTACCCCTGTAGTTTTGCTTCTGTTCACACTCGCACAGCCACAGCGATTCACAGTATCAGGAAGACAAACTCCCTCGGCCGTTACGATTCACACCTTCAGTGAAGCTGCTCCCGCTGCAATTTGCAAGTTATCTTTGAACGCACTGTAGATTCTTCCCTTTGTGCCACGGTCTGTTTTTGTTTAGCTTTCTCTCTCTTCTTCCTCTCGCTCCTCAGATGAGCAGCGCAGCTCGGTGAACGAGTCCAGCAGCCTGCTGGGTGGTTCTCCCAGAAGGCACTGCAGGAGGAAAAGTTCTCCGTACCACACAGGGCAGCTGCACCCGGCTGTGAGAGTGGCAGACCTGCTCCAGCACATCAACCAGATGAAGACAGGAGAGGGCTACGGCTTCAAGCAGGAGTATGAGGTGAGACTCCGCTGAGGTTACAGTGGTTTTGACAAGCAATTCTTAAAGCATATGCCTGCTGGGTCAAATATAAAAGACAAAGACTTGGAGTAATGACAAACTTAAGAGAAACTTGAAGCAAAATTGTTATTAGCAAAAAAAAAAAAACAGCTTTATCGGCTTAGGTGATATTTGAAGAAACTACATTGGTTCCAAATAGTATTAAGACACTTAAATTACACTTAAGTAATTTAACTTACTTAGATAGATAGATAGATAGATAGATAGATAGATAGATAGATAGATAGATAGATAGATAGCCAGACAGATATATATATATATATATATATAGCCAGACAGACAGACAGATAGATAGATAGATAGATAGATAGATAGATAGATAGATAGATAGATAGATAGACAGACAGACAGACAGACAGACAGACAGAGAGATAGATATATAGCCAGATAGATAGACAGACAGACAGACAGACAGACAGACAGATAGATAGATAGATAGATAGATAGATAGATAGATAGATAGATAGATAGATAGACAGACAGACAGACAGACAGACAGACAGAGAGATAGATATATAGACAGACAGACAGACAGACAGACAGACAGACAGACAGACAGA